TACTGAAGCGAAACTTAAACCAGGTGAGTCAATAGCGAGAGAAAACGAGAGGGGTATCTGCGTGTTGAAATGGAAGGATAAGAGATATGCTTATGCTGTCCACTAAGCATTCGAAAGGATTCAAAACTGTCATGAAAAAAGGAAAAGTGGTTCGAAAACCAAAGATGGTTTTGGCATATAATATGGCAAAAGGTTCAGTCGATCTCAGTGACCAAATGAATGCCTACTCATCACCTCTGAGAAAGACCATGAAGTGGTATAAAAAGTTAGGGGTCCTATGGCTCACGACACAGGTTTCAAAACAGGTCTGCCTTGAGGTCACCGGTGACCTACGCGGCGCATAGATGCAGGGCAGAGTCAGGTCACCGGTGACCTATGTGGCGAAGAACGTGTTAAATCATGATTTAAATCAAAATGATTCATTCATGCCAACCCTGCTGATAAGCCATGATAACGAAACTTTCGCGCATGCAAATTTTGCGATAATGAACATGTGCACCTGTGACACAAGCGCCGGCCGAACTAGGTCACGACCAAAAAAGTTTTTTATTAGTGGAATCGATTCTACTCTCGATTCTGAACAAACTAATTTCAGGTTTTGCGCTTTTTCATTTCACGTGTACGAGGTCTGTAAATTAAGTAATGAGACTGGCAACGTTGCGTTTGATCTGGCAACACTGGGAGCGCGGGGCTTGGTGGGGCGGCAGAGGAACATGTTATCCACCTTCAGTACGAGTTTGACCTCGCTCGAGTCATTTGGCTGTGCGTAGCGATTGTTTTGTGAAACACTTTTTTTCTATTGTGTTCTAAAAATGAATGACATCAATTTCGAGCAACGGTGTGCTATCAGGTATTGCTTCAGACTTAGGCACAGTGCAACGGAAACTCTTCTTAAACTTCAGCAGGTCTACGGAGATAGTGTTTTGTCAAGAGCCCAGGTTTTTCGGTGGTTTAAGGCATTTTCAGTAGGAAGAAAGTAGATTGAATATGAACCACGAAACGGAAGGCCTTCATCTTCAAGGACCGACGAAAACGTCTACAGAATCCGGGATCTTGTGCGTCCAGATCGTCGGTTAACAGTCAGAATGATCGGGGAAGAGTTAAATTTGACTCACACCACCTGTTTGGTATAAGTTTAGCGGTAGGTAGATTGAATACAACCTTTATTAATTTGGCGTAGGGTAGTTAGTAAAAAATATGATATAGTCGGCATCGGTCGGTCGCCGCTTACAGATATTAATATATTCGGTATTTGTAACAATAATTTAGTAAATTGCGGTGCTGTAGATATTACATATATTTATTTGTGTTTACTCATCAATATATATGAAGAAGTGAACTATTACACGTGATTTGTGAAAGAAGAGAAGCTAAGGGGCCCCTTACCAGCTACGGACCCAGTGCCATACATGGACTCCAGGTTTTTAAGTGTGATTAATATTTATTATATATATTTCTTTACGTTAAGCACATTTTTCCACTGCGCGTAATCTCTAATGGAACATTTCTGGTAGCAGAGCGTGGTTAAGGATCCGGTCTTCGGTAGGTTATATATTACGTTCCGGCGAAAATGTGGCATCGCGATATTACCATAGCTTAGTTATAAAAACGGATAGTTTCAATACGTAATGGGATCGGTTTAGTTACATAAGTTAATGCTTCGGTGACTTATGATTATTTTTTTTTGTATGTGTTACAATAGCTTGCCATCTTATAGTTATTTTCTTACAATAGAAAGGGGTTCCGCTCGGACGGGCATCGTGTAAAATTTTAGTTACCATTATATACTTAACGGCTGACTAATATATCACTATTCGGTTTTGTAACAATTTTACGGAATTTCATTCATATTGAAAGTAATATTATATATTATTAAAAGTAATAGTAATATTATATATTGAAAGATTATTCGATTTGTTGTTGTTGACATAGTTTAAAATAAAATGTCACTAAGGGGTTATTGGGCACAATTTAAATTAAAATTGCAATGGTTAATTGACAGTGCGGACTTAACAAATAGGCCGGAGCACATAAATAGATTAAGCATACGATTAATGACAGTTAATACGGAATTTTCATTTTTCGAAAAGGCTTATCAGAAAATTATTGAACTTGCTGATACAAGTATTTCGTCAGAAGCAGAAATAGTAACTGCGGCTCGTCAAGAGTATGTTCGAGGTTTAGAAGCCTTTGATAAACTTATGATCGTGAAATTAGACACTGACAAAGAGTCGACTTCAACATCTGAAACGAAACCGGATACTAATAAAGTAGATTCGGATACTTTGATTTCTCGTTTACCAACACTTCGGTTACCAACATTCTCGGGAGAAATGGACCAATGGGTGGGATTTAATAACCTTTTCGATAGTTTGGTAGACTCTCGCAGTGACCTATCACCGTCACAAAAATTGGCTTATCTTATGTCATGTTTAACTGGGGAGGCTCGTGGCTTAGTACAACATGTTAGAATCTCGGATGAAGGTTATCGTACGGCTAAAGATTTACTCATAAAGAGATATCAAAATACCCGACATTTAGCGGATGTTCATGTTGATCAAATAATGAAATTGCCCTTTATTTCACAGCGGCTTAATGGTTTACGATCACAATTTCTTAACCCATTAATAATGGCAGTAAATTCTTTAGAGCGACTAGGATTCCCGATTTCACAGTGGTCATTTTTACTATTGCATATTGTTCTTGTTAAATAACCTAACCTAACGTACTTAAAACTCGGTTTGAACAAAAATATGTGGTAGAACCAGACATCGTACCTACCTTTTCAAATTTGGTTGAGTTTTTGGAAGCAGAATGTAGGCTTTTGGAATGTACAAATACGGAGTCAGCGGCTATACACACAGATGTGTCAAAATTGACATCACGCCCCCCACGTAGAGGAATTCAATATACAGCTGTGGTGACTGGCCAGGTATGTTCATGCTGTGGTGATAACACACATTTGGCGTTAATGAAATGCACTCGGTTTAAATCTTTGTCACCATTGGGGCGTAAGGATTTTATACAAAGGAATCGGCTTTGTTACTTTTGTCTTGGTAATCATAGCTATAAAGATTGCCGAAGCACTCCCAATTGTGATGGCTGTGGAAGTAGAAAACATCACCCAATGTTATGTTTCAATCGTTCGGGTACGGCTCAACAACCTAACGATAACCACAGTTCTATGCGACGGTCACCACCGCGTACGGGCGGGGGCTATTCACCACGATCTGGCAGATATCAGGGTGGTTCCCCTCCATCTTCTCCTCCACGTAATGGACATAGATCACCTGCCCCAAACAATCAACGTTACAATTCGGACGGACGTAGGCGCGTTCATTCGGTCAATAAGCATTTCCAGAGCGAGCGGTCTAACAACTGGAACCAACAGCTAAACGGACAACATCAAGATGTTCGGAATGATAATCGCCATAGCGATAGTAGTAGAGATCACGAATAGGATACGGCTTTTATTCCCCGCTTAAATTCACTTGTATTACAACGTACAATTTTGTTACCTACGGCCATGGTTAAAGTTTTTATTAATTCGGAAACGGTTTCTTCTAATTATCATACGGTTAGAGCTTTACTAGATGCGGGGTCCGAAGGATCTCTGATTTCTATTGGTCTTGCGCAAAGGCTCGGGTTAACATTTCAACCCTTAAATGAACGAGTAAGAGGGATAGGGGGTTGTGAAGTAACAAAAACTTTTGGTAGATCAATGGTTACGTTTGCTCCTATCAAATCACATTATCCAGTTATTACTACTCCGGTAATATGTTTATCGGATTTAGTTGGTGATCAGCCAGCCTTTGAGTTATCGGAATCAATAGCTGATCTGGCTATCGGCTTAGATTTAGCGGACCCAGAATTTTATAAATCAAAGCCTGTTGAGTTACTTCTTGGTTCGGACGTTTTCGGATCACTGGTAGGCGGGAATAAACAATCAACGTTACAATTCGGACGGACGGATTTATTAAATAAAATTGGTTTCACAGCATATCGATCTATTTTCGGTTTCGTACTTCTGGGACCTGTAGAAAGCACGAAACCGCCTTCGTGTTTTACTACGGAAAATATTGATTGTTTCGGAGTGTCGCTTTTGCAACAATTGCAAAAATTTTGGGAGCTAGAAGAGCCTCCGTCAGTTTCCTTAAGAACTCCTCAAGATGAAGAGTGTGAATAATTTTATAAGGATAATACGGTTCGGTTAGAAAGCGGTAAATTTATGACTCGGTTACCCTTTCTTTCATCTCGATCACTACTTGGGCAATCTCGTCCTATTGCGGAAAGGCAGTTTCTAGCAACGGAAAGGCGTTTGATAAAAAATTCGGCTCTTAAAACCAAATATGTTCAGTTCATGCGTGAATATTTAATTCTGGGACTGCGATATGTCCCAGAATTAAATATTCACGCATGAACTGAACATATTTGGAAATAAAGTGACCTAATTAAAAAAATGGGTAAATCGAGTTTTAATAATAAAACGACGTAAAAAAGCATGCTCTAATACCCTGTGGTGAGAAAGAGACATAATTACGTACAGGAAAGGGACATCCGATAGTTCGGTCGCTATAGTCGCCCCCGCCTTTGGCTAGTATTTTTGGTAATAAATTGACTGATTCAGGATTGCGTCAACAGCGCTTGTGAGTGGACGTGCAAAACATCGCCCAATTTGAACTTGCGTCGGTTTATTGCGAAAAATGACGTGGTAAGTTTTTAATTTTTTTTTTTAACTAAAAGACTCTTTTTGATTTGAGTCTGTTTATGACAAATTATTTTTTCTATTTCATTGTCATTTTTTAGGTTAAGTCTTTTTAGTAGTAAAACATTTTGTTATGTGAGGTAAACGATTGTAATTAGGTCTGTTTTTGATTAAAATCAGTAGCAATTTATTATTGTTTGTGACCTTTTGGCGTAGTACTAAAGTTCATTTTAGAATAACCTTACCTTGTTTTAGGGGATAGAAGATGGCGTCAATCTGTGCACGGAGTAAAAAAATGTTCGGGTTGATGGAAATAACGGCACCTACCGTACCAGATAGTAAAACGCGACTTGGAAATTCTACGATTACTTCCGAAGAAAAAAATGATGGTAATCTGAAACCGGAGCAGGAGAAAAAACGTTTTGATCCAAAAAAATATGATTCCACTAATACGAGTAGTATCGAAAACAACACTGGGAAAGTAGAAAACTGGTTAGCAAGTCAATACTGTGACGCAATATCTCTTTCACCTTCCCCAAATTACTGGAGTTGCGATAAAGAAAATAGATTAGTTTTTCATGAAAACCAAAATGATTGCTCACAAACACTTACAAGAAAACCCGAGCCCCATTCTTCAGTTTTACTGTCTCCAAATCAAAATATACACAATCAAGATCAAACCGAAAATGTGAGTGCTACGTTGCAGTCTCCATCTCCAGCAAAGAACGCTACTAGTTCTCATAGATCACAACATCGACCAAACAGCTTGTACATCGCCACAGTCGCCTGAATATATCCCAACTAAACAGTTGCCATCTAGAAAAGCGATACCAGCCAATAAATACGCAATTTCCCCTCTAAACACCGATGAAAGAGACATTGATTTGAGTGATGATGACCCCACTTACAACACTAAAAAGGATCAAAATACAGTTAAACGTTTTAAGAAGAAACTGATATCCAATCAAGTGCATTGTTCCGATTCTAGAAGTCCATCAAAATGCAATAGTTCATCAAAAGTAAATTCTCAGACACGCAAAAGTACATCTAGTAGTTCATCTCATAGCTCTTCATCAACAAGTAGTTCATCAAGTAGCAGTTCATCTAGCAGTAACTCATCATCTAGTAGCACGTCATCTAAAACTCATACATCAACTGAAGAAAATAATACTCCTGTTGTTACCAGCAGAAAAAGGAAGCGTGACACTACAAAATGGAAACAAAATATTGCCAAAGTTGCGAGAAACAGCGGTCAAGCTTACACTTCTTGTTCAAAAACCAAACGCAAATGTAATGCGCACAGTATGAAACCTCCATGTTCACAAAAGTGTAGATTAAAATGCTCTGAACAGATAGACGAAGACATGAGGTTGTCCTTGTTTAAAAAATATTGGGAACTAAAGATTATTAGTCTTCAGTGGTCTTATATTAATACTTGCATGACTGAAATCACGCCAAAATATCATTATTCTAACGCTGAAAACCCCAGAGGATACAACCACGCATTCTATTTTACTGTCAATAGTCGGAAAATATGAGTATGTAAAACATTTTTTCTGCACACATTGGATATTACTGACAGAAGTATTCGAACTGTTAAGAGTAAAAAAGATACCCTAGGTTTTATACAAGCAGATTTTAGAGGAAAACATGGGAAAAATAAAAGTGTTGACCCGGCATCATACAGGAAATCAAAACCACATAAATTTTATTCCACGAATAGAGTCCCATTATTTGAGAGCACAAACTAATCGTGAAATTATAGATGGCTCCCGGACAATTGCAGATATTTATAGAGATTATGTCGAAAATCAAAAACAAAATAACAAACCATTTGGAAAATACAGTCTAATACTTTGAAAAATTTGCAAGAGCAATGGGGATACAACTACACAGAAAATGAAGATAAGGAATTGTTTTCATAGAATGACGTAAAAATGCTTAAATTTGTGAACCTTTTATTATTTACTACAAGACATCTTATAAAGATGACTTCAAGAAGCTAAATGTTAGAAACAAGAGGAAGAAGATGAGAACACTTGAGGATGTAGAGCTGATTAAGGCATACTCCGAAAGAATTGAACTGAGTGCAAACAAAAAAAAGGATCTCAATTACTTAATTAAGAAAAACTTGATACCAAATGTTTACGCTAGTTACTATAATTCAATAATATATGTCGTTACCTACCGTTGTGTTTTAAATTTTTGTTGATTTCTGATGAATATTTGATTTTGTTTTGCTTATATTTTTAAAAAGGTTACTAGTTACCTTTATTTAATTTTTGTTAAATATAATAACATTATTTGTTCCGTTCGATATCCGGAATCCATCTTGAGTCAAGCATCATCCTTTTTGTGACGTTTCCGGTCAAAACACTACCTCCCCTCTTACTTCCGGCGCCTGTGCTGCCATCTAGTTTGCGGGTAGCGAACCAATGACTTTTAGGCACGAACGCTTACCGTCATTATAGCGTTGTTTTTCGTGGCGAAAACATCGGTCCTACATAAAATGTGCACAAATTATACTTATTATTATATAGTTTAGTGTTAAAATTAAAATGAAATGAATATAAAATTAACCTCCCTTCGCGATGGAGCAACGGGACAGTGAAATAAACAAAGAAAACAGCATTGAAGCAGGCGTGTTTATTGTCTTCGAGCTCATCGAACAGCGTCGTCGGATTCCAGCTCGGAGAGAGCAAGTAAGGTACAGAGGCGAGAAAAACTGTAAGTGATTTGCATTCGATTTGTTACCCCAACCAGTGACATTTTTTGATAATGCATCATGCATTATCAAAAAACTGGAAAACTAAATCCACCTGTGCATTTTTCCATAACAAAATAGCACATAGTATCCATACCAGGACCGCAATTATGGCAACCACAGCCACCATCACGTTCCCTACGACCCCACGGTCCTGAACAGTTCCTACTTGCAGCGGTTACGACTGGTGATAATTTTCTTTATGTACCTACTATAGTAAAACAATCAACACAAGTTCAAATAGGATTTTTTTTTTTTTCTTAATAACGTTAAAGACCCAGTCTATGGTGAAACCAAATTAGATGAAACATGCTCAAATTAAATTATAAGTTGAGGCGATTTGTTTCTGCTACAACAATTGATGATTTAAGATAAGATCTTTATTTGCAAAAATAGAAGTCATTATAGTTTAATTTTATAGAAATGGTACAGTCTACAGCATTAACAAATACCTTAACAGAATTAAAGTATGAATCAATTAGTTTAGAACTAGTTTACAATAAATTGCAGATTGATCTATTGCTAAAGACCTTAATGCTTTTTGATAAAATCTAATCAACATTCAACAAGGATTATATTTTGCAAATATTAAGTGGCAGACGCACTGATGTGTTCAGAGCCGTGGAGAAGTTTTCTGAGGTGTCTTTACAGAATTTTTTGCCAAATTCAGAGTTCAAAGTCAAAGTCAAAATAATATTTATTCAAATAGACTTCTCATTTGAATCGTCCAACTTTTTTCCCCACCACTCGTTCAGGACGTCTTTTGGCTGATAGGAAGAACGAACAAGTTCTTCTTTGATAATAGTATATTGCACCCAAAAAACAAGGGGGTGCATAAAATGGTTGCAACTGCAAGTTGATTCAAGGTAGATTACCAGAAGTACACACCAATATTTAAATGGTAATGAAACCAGTTCATTAAACTTTAGAAATAAATGCAATGCATGACATGACACATTGGAGGCTATCTAATGCGATCTGTAAGTTTATGGAACAATCAGGATGTTCCAGATTGCATATGTCGGATCTTGGGCGAGTGGCTCACCAGTTCCAAGGTGTCACCATTTCTGAGCTCCCGCATTCCACTCTCAGTCATGTTAATGCAGATAATGAGCTTTTCTATATTGTCTCTGGTCTGGGTGTTGTTACCTTCATTGTTTTAGATTTCCATAATACAAGTGTTTAAATATATCATTTGGTATCTAAACTATGTAGGTATGTGATGGTATAAAAATTATATTTTTATGCGTGGGATTTTAAGCCATCTTCAAATATCGTTTGCAATGCTCAAATTAATATACTAGAGATTACAAAAACCACCCTGTTTTGTATCATTTCCTCTTCTAATGTTAAAGCCCGACAATTTCATTTAAAACGACACTGATTTGTCAAAATAAAACCTTTTCGACTGATCAATAATTTTCGTATTCCGAACATTCTCATACAAAACGAATGGTTTACGAAAATATATCCGAGCCAAAAGTATTTTCATTTGAGTATCGCCGAACAACATCTGGTTCACAGGTTCTTAAGACTGGCATACAACAACCTACCTAATGTAACTGAAGTGTCTCTTTGAACTGCCATCGGTACTCAAAAACTTTGCTGCCTAGACCAACACAACAACTGCGTTACCACAATAGCAGCGCTTTGGGTGGTCTCTCAACTTCGAGCAGTGTGTGCTGGTTCTGAGCTTCCTCGGCGTTGCCTGATGCATCGTGACCAACACGGTCACGAGGTGCTGGGAAGTGCCGGGGAAGTCAGGGGTAAGTCCCTGTCGGAACCGAAGTGCCTTACGCTACGCATGGCACTTCAGCACGAGGCGACTACACGTGGCGGTTAGTCCCTCAGACAGGCCCAGTTCCTAATGGGGAGATTCAACTTTGCCTCGTTTGTGATTCGAAGAGGGTGGTTACACTGTCGCACACTGCAATACTACCATCGACAGTTGCCCAAAGATCACCATTACCACCGAATCAGACTACTAGACTCAGTACAGAACATTCAGCGAAGTCACTGTTTGAACCGAACGCTTCACGCTACGCATGGCATTTCAGGATCAGATTGTACAAGGCGGTTGGTCCCTCAGACAGGCCCAGTTCCTAATGGGGAGACTCGACTTTGCCTTGTTTGTGATTCGAACAGGATGATAACACTATCGCACACTGCAATAGTAACACAGCTTAATTTACTACCTATTATTACTACCTATTCGGATTACCAGACCCAGTACTGAATGACTTAAAGTGGTAAGTATCTGTTGTATCTTCCAATAAATGCAACGCAAATCGCTCAACATCCGAGGACAGGTGCATAGGAAATCTGTTCGAGAGCTCAACTCGAGGCAATTACTCACGCGAGTCTTCATTTCGCGGAATGTCTAGATGTAAATGCTAAGAGAACTGTACTGATTCCCGTACATAAACAAAGATGGGGAACCAAATCTAGGAAATTATTGTAATTATGACACGAACAAGGCAGATTCAGAAATTATGCATAGCCTGAATACTAAATCTAGCAGCCCAATGTACACCAGATGTGAACTTATTCCATCGACAAAAGCACACGTCATTCCCAGGTTCATGACAATGGATGTGACGGACGAGCAAGCTAATAGGTCATAACGCATGACGTCATCAGTGCAAATGCAAGCTGGCCTTATTCAAACATGATTCCGCAAATACTTTCTCGACTCCAGTAAGTGTCAAGGCAAGTAAGTACATTATGATTGTTCCAAAATGGGACAAAGTGTCTTGGCTGACGATTTGTTTCCGCAAATACTGCAATAGGTATGGCAACAGGTGTTCATCCCCCGAAATTCAGAAAATTTATTTAAAAGTCGGGCAGAATAAAATGAAATAAAGAAAATCTTGAAACTATCGAGTTAATGTAAAGCGACTATAAATATCTACTAGTATTAATTCTACAAATAACAAGTGCCTGGTAGGGAAATTCTGCTAATGTCGGCGTAATGGTGGAGGGTCAATAGCGCTTTGACTACAACCCTTTATGACACATTCTTGTTACTAGATCATAAAATAATAAATATATCTGTCAATATTGAATTGTTAGGAAGACATTGCACAAATAATATTAGACTTCAGGTATATAGTACATTGGAAATTTTACGTAGAAATTGGCAGAATTGACTCTATTTAAGTTGCTGGAAATTTAGCATAATTTCACAATCTTCAAGGTCGCAGACTCCATTATTTAACCCTTTTAACCTTTGAAGTATAGAGACGAAAATTATTTTTTTGTCTTATGGCCCCATTTTGTATTAAAAACAGATAATAGTAATTATGACAGCCAGGACAGAAATGATAAACTGACACAAATCATTCGATTGCATGTATTGGACACGCGATCGATTTTTGTATTGAAAGAGCCCCAAAAGAAGTAATTTTCACGAGTTAACTACTCTGTTCTCAAAAATGCTAAATAGAAGCACATAATGTAGAAGATTCTTCAGGGTCTATTACATCTGCAGTTCCATCTCTAAATTGACTGGAACTGTTTCCGATGGATAAATTACTGAAACTGTAAACTGGCGCCAAGAACATACTTTTAGGAAGTCCTATCGAAAACTGATAAATCGGACAATCAAGAAAATTCCGATATCTATGTATTTACATTTTTATTATTCCATTCAATTCATTAATGATATTGACCGATAACAGATAAGCCAATATTTATTTAGCTTAGATTACCGAAATACTTGAATAATTATTATAATTGCATTGTTATGTAACAGCATAATATATGTACTATGTA